TTCTATAAGTTCAAATAAGTGATGCATCATACATCCATCTGTTAATGAACAGATAAAGTCCTTTGTAATTTTAAAGGAGCTTTGTTTGTTCTTAATGTGAACCAGCTTCATAATGAGCTGAGCTGTATGTGTATAAATAGTCCATTTAGTTAATTGTTTCCTAAAATGAGATAGATTGGTAGCATCTATTTAATGTCTGATTCTGGTCTCAATAGAGCCAATTGTTTTCTGCTATGGGATTAAGTATGAACTGAAGTAAGCCTAGTGTATTAATTTCATTGCAAATTCTATATTGAGGGAAAAAAAGCAAAACAGAAAAGAAAAATAAATTCAGAATCCTTCTCATAGGTGAATTGTGCTGATAATTTTTCTGCCCTTAAATCCCCTGAACTGTATCTTGTATTTTCTGCTCCATTAAAATTATTTCCCAGAAATTTGCTCAAAAATTTTTGGTTTATTTTGGAGTTTGGTTTTTTCCCCCTAATTTGTGCAGTAATTTCCTTTGCCTTAAATGCTATAGATTCCAAAGTCAGAATGTTGAAAAGGGAATTACTAAATAAATAGTGGAATTCCCCAAATAAGTAGGCACAAAGTCTTTAATTCCACATGCCACAGGGCTGTTATTGCCAACATTGAGATTCCCTGATGAAATTCACGACATGATGTGGAAAAATGCCTTTTGAGATTAGATCAAGACTTTTAAAAGGATATTCCAAATTTATTTTGGTTTAGATAAAATAACTATACCTTTCATTTCCCAAATTCAGTTTCTTAATATCCCATAAAGATGTATAGTAGGGGAACTTTTTGTCTCCTTGACCACAGTCTTGAAATGTAGTTTTCTGCAGGCTTTGTCCTTTGGCCAGCTTCTCTGTATATAATCGCAGCTCTTCCTTTTCTCAAAGAGAAGAGGTTAAAGTTGTAAAATATCTTAGTATAGTATTTGCCACTGGCTTATTTTCTTCTTTTTCCCCGCAATACTTAGATGAAAAAAAGTAGAAGGCTGCTCATTTGTCTGAGTGTGTCAGTCTGTTGCTGCAGTTTTGCTTAACTCCTGGGTATGTTTAATCTTCCATTGACAGAGGCTTGCTTTTTCACATGATCAGAGTATGCTTGTGGAAGAACGCAAGACCCAATGTGATACTTTGATGTATTTTGCCAATAATATTAAGCTACAGTACTGGTTGAAATTTAGTATTTGATTGACATTTATTTAGGACAGAAATATTATGCTTATTTGGCTTTTTCTTTTTCAAATTAAATAGGCCAAACAGTTATCCTGTGGAATCTATAAATAGTAAAACTCCTCTCCCTATCAGTTGTAGCTATTAAATTTTGCATCTCACTCCATCCTATTAGGGGAATTCCCTTAATAGCACCATATATATACACTCTTAGACATCAAGTCAGGCAGAAATTCACAGAGATTTTTGCTGCAGTGAAAGGAAATTTCAAATATTGCTGGGGGTTCACACATTTTTATAATCATTGTCAAAATAATATAATTTACAGTTGCATTTTGGCCTTGTTTTGCACCTCTCTGTCTGCCTTAAATCTTTACCTGCCTTCATTTCCAAATTGTTAAAAAAGGTACCAGTTCAAAGATTTCTGATTTTTTTCCTTCTTTGTAGCTTGTAGGTTTTTTAGAATGTCTATCACATTGGGCAGTCTTTCTTTTTTTACTGGGTATCATTCGACCTTGAGTCAGAGTGTCACATGTCATTACAGAATTGTAGACAGAGTTCATTAGGTATAAAATAAAGGTCAGAGCTCTAGGCATTTTGTAGCAAACAAATGTTTTAACATTGACAATGGTTGTTGGTCCAGAGACATAAGAGAAAATGAGGTGCTGTAGACAAAAAGGTCCATTAATTTTGCACTAAAGGCTCTATTAGTTTGGGTATTATGGATAAACCAAAATACCTGGAGATTTTTTTAATTCTCATACACATCACTTGTGTCCCTTGAGGAATCTGAAATATATTTAAGTTGCTAATAAATACGGAAATGGAAATTAATTATTCATAGGAGTAAATATTTAAACATTCATAGAATGAAACATAAAGAATAATTTAACACAATCCTCACTAAAAAAGTATCTTCTAAGATTGGGAGGAGACTGTATCTACTAACAAAGTATGAAAATTATGCATTAAGAGCCAGATTTTTTTTTTTACTCTAATAATTTCTTCCATTTAAAATTCTCTGACCTAATAAAGAAGTGTTTTTATGAGGGAGCTATATGCTATGATCATACGTGATATACTATATTTTAGTCCCCTTAAATGCACAGGAAAAAAATACGTGAAACATTTACTGACAGTGCAGAATGATTTATGCATGACCTTTGTTTAGTTTGTTTTCTCTAAAATCTTTATTGTCTTTTTTTTTTTTCTCAGAAATATCCCATCTTCTAACTAAAATGTCAAAACATTCAATTTGAGTGACTGCTACTGCTTCTTCATTAGACTGTTACCCTTTATCCATCATAGTGTTTCTGAAACATCTTACAGTCTCTTCTCACTCAATAACCATTTTCTGGGTTTTAGATATATTGCTCTATCTTAATTAAGTGTTGATTTTTGTTTGTTTCAGCTTTGCTTTTGAACTGGGAATAATTGCCCAAGCTTAATTTATTTGATACGTCTGTAGTCATAATATTTAACGATCCATTATTATGCCAGATCTCAGCTGCACAGGAGTGATCCATATTTTTGAAGCAGTTGAGTATCTAGAGATGCCAACAAAGAGGCATTTGTTTGCCAGCAAGGAAAGACTAAAATCTATGCATTCAGTGCATGCATTTGTCAGGCTTTGCCTTGGAGTGTGTGTGACAAGTCATGTTCAACCTGTTTGCTGTAGTTACTGTGTTTTGGGGAAACAAATTAATAAAAAGTGTATTTAACTAACATAGCGGGAAGGGCAAAGGGATTCTCAATAAACACCATTTCTCAAAAGGGACAAAACTGTGTTTATTCAACATAAACAAATACACTGAGAAGTGTTTTGCCAGAGAAACTGTTTCAAGCTATTTGCTTAAAGTGTGAAAGAGCTTTATTAGAGTGAATATGCTTTGTCTTGGACTATGCCTCTTCTGAATTTCAATAACAGCTAAACTCTTGTCAAAAAATACTTTCATTAAATGTACATGTTTATCAAAATGCAGATGATAAAATTGCTGGTAAATATAACTTTGTTTAAGATAAACTAATTACATTTAATATATGTGCTGTAATGGGGCATTCTTTCCATAAGCAGAGCCTATCTCATCTAATTCTTCAGAAAGGTCCTTGGCATTCTTTACAGCTACATGCTGCATTTCTTGAGTTACAGAGTTTGAATTCTGTTAGTCTAAAACCATTGAGTGCAGCATGTTCATAGGAAAGTCACCCAGGAAAATTAAATTTACATAAACAAATTATTCTCTCAGCCTCTGGAAACACCTACTTTCCCCAACCTTATATATGGTCCAAACTTTCAGTTCTGACCTCAGACATTTCCATTTGCTGATTCCCTGAAATGATATCTATTGACAAATCATATGCCAGCCTCTGTCTGTTTAAATAACACCATAAAAATGCTAAAATTATAAATTTTCAAAATGTTAGTTTTGTGGAAACCTGTAGGATCCTTACTGATGAGCTATACCCCACTGCCCATGGTTATTTCAAGGACAGGTACACATGCTGAAAATAGGTGCGGAAAATAAGAAATCTATGAGAGTCCAGCAGCAGAAGAGAGAACACTGCATCTTATATTCACAATTATGCTTCAGAATGGAATATTTCAACATTAAAGCAAATTACCCATATACATCTATGTATACATATAAACAGATTTTTTAAAAATTCATGGGGATATGCTGAATGAAACAAACATTCCAGTTTTGCCAAAATTGTATTATTGTTAAGATTTTCATAGTATAGCAGGAAAAATTATTGGTTTGCTAAGAAATTTGAATAAAAAATAGATAAGAATATTCTATTATACTGCAAGTCAACAATATGAAGTATGAAATGCAGTTTTATATACAACTCAATACCAAATCCGCAAAATATAAGTTTATTGGTCTTGCTATCAAAATAAAATAATGCAAGCATACTCCAAAAATCACTAAGTCTGAAACATAATCCATTCTCAAGAAGATATTTGTTGAGTTGATGATTTTACAGGTTTTGTTGCACTGTGAAATCTGTGTTCCTTACACAGAGGAAGAACTGCCATGTAAACTGTGACAGACTCTAGCAGAACATCACTTTCTTTATTGTTAAAGAGGGTTGTTTTACATAATACTAATGCTGAAAAATGTTCAAATGTGTGTAAGAAGTTAAATACTTCCTCTATCCTTCATTTTTAAATGAAACATTTCTGAAGAAGTACAATGATAATATTTTTATTAATACCCATTTAATGTGCCACATATTGGATTTAGCATCTATTTTACATATATATATATATATATATATATATATATATATATATATGGCTGTAATATTAACCATTTTATTTAATGTCACTTGGAAAGACTGTTAAACTTCACTACAGTAAAATTGTCATCAAAGCATGGTTCCTACTGGACTGATGTAGTAATTTTACACATATATCTATCAACCTTTCACTGTTAGCAGCCACTGCATAGGAATGAAATGCAAAATTAATTGGTCTTCAAATACTGTATGTAGTCCCATTATTTTGGGCATTCACATAAGCATACAGTTCAATCTAAAAGCACTGGTAGTTAGACCACAAATTTTAAATTATAAGAATGAAGTTGAGAGAGTTACATCATCTCATACAATGCTGTATGTTCTGCTCCAAACACCTGGTTTGTGTTTATCCCCACCTCAGCAAAACCAGTTCTGAAACATTTGTAATGCGAGACAAGCTTATCCACTGAGCAAAAGGTCTGCTCTAAAAATGCCATGATAGGCTGTTCAGTATTTTCAACACAGCAGCTGAATACATATAAATGTAATAAGAAGTGTATGCTTGGTTTCCAGGATCAGTGGTTTTGGCGAGTCAGGAACAACAGGGTGATGGATGGATACCCCATGCAGATTACCTACTTCTGGAGGGGACTGCCTCCCAGCATTGATGCAGTTTATGAAAACAGTGAGGGGAATTTTGTCTTCTTTAAAGGTAAGAAAGAACAAAAGATTTTGTGTAACGCTTTTGAGTGTGGTGATTTCTTGAAACACATCTTGTTTATTTTTACTAATGATTGGTAAATCTTATTGCAAATTGGTGGTTAAATGAAGAGTATAAGAGTATATAAGTTAACATTTTCTCATTTGGCAATTACATATTTAATTTATGATTATGTAATCATAATTACATAATTACATAATTAATTACATTAATTTATGATATCACAGTATCAGGTCATTTGCTCTTACATATTCAATAAAAATTTGAAATTATAAGACAGAGAAATGAAGTGATCTACTATGAAATAATTTTTTAAAATATATTTTAGGAAGACACAATGAAGACGTTTGCATTATTAATTTTTATGTAGTTCTCTTTGCTCTTCCTTTTTGCAAATTAATTTCTTATATATTTAAATGGCACCTCTGCTATATATACCTCAATGTACTGCATTGTATTTGTTTCATCTAAGACCTGTGATGTTAGGAGTTTCATGTGGGGAAAAATAATCTTTTTCATAGGTTTGTATTTAGTGTTTTTAAAGGAGCACAAACTCCAGAAAATAGGTGATTTAGATCAAATTGTTGCTGACAATTCTTTTTAAATTTCACTTCAGACATCAGCTGTTCTTCAAAATTAAAATTCTTGAACATGCGCCTTATTTAGATTTAATGATAAAGCTGTCTTATATGTTCAACAAATGCATACTTAGTGACAAAATCTTCAAATTATGTAAAGTATGTTTTATAAAATAATCATTTGAGAGAAGAAAAAACTGAATAGATAACAAATATGTGAAAAATTAGTCAGCTATTTAGTGTCGTGAATTATTTTTTTAACTTATTATAAAAAAGGTAGATTTTTTAAAGTTGTTATATTAAAAAAAACATTTTTACAAGAGAAGTCATTAACAGGGAGTTAGAATATTTCATTCACTACAGAAACAGGGTCTTGGGAATGTTAAGTAAAAAATATTTAATAACATGCAGAAACACTTCATAACAGTATAAAGAAGTTTATGTTTTGCTAAAAGTGAAATTGTATTTTTGTGTGAATCATAAGGAAAATGATATTACATGTAGTGCAGTTTCGATTTCAACACAGCAAATGCTTTTACTTCTGTTGCCATAAAATAAACTTCAATTCATTAACTCTGGAAAGTTTATATGGTTGGGAATCATGATCAAGGTATCTCCAAATCTCCATCCCACTGCTTGATTTTTAGGTCTGTAAGACATGGAAGGATAAAAATATTATTTTGTAGCTATTCCTTTGCACCACTTCTACAAAGAGCAAAGTAGCTACCCTGGAATTCCAGACTTCTGCCTTGATAATGCTGGGATCCATTATCCTAGCTCCAGACAGAAATGATCAAGCTTATTGTTAGAGCTGCTTCTTTTCCTTCCCAATGACCTTGAAATATGTTTCGTCATTATTAACTCTTCACCCCCTTCTGACTGGCTCCTGTTAGGTCTTAGAGGAACAGGTTGATCCTGTAGTCTGTGGGTTACAGATAACAAACAACAGATGGAGGAGGAAACTTCTCTATTTTTTCTCTGAGAAGTTAAATCAAGATTAATTAAAGCAAGCAGGAACAGCAGGATTGTGCTTTTAGAGATCAGAATTGTGTTTTCCTTTCATATCATCTCCACCTTATGCTATCTAATTTCAGACCAGTTAGTTTTGTGCCTTCTAGCTGATATCATAAGATATTTAGATATTCTGCTGTAGGGTTTTTTTTCCCATATGACTTCTTTTCAAAGTTCCTTCCATTATTTTTCAAATGACATTATCTGCCAAGTTCAAAAATCTTTGTATTTCCTTGTGCAATTTTAAAAAAAATTTTTTTGCTTCTCTGCCATGCCCTTATGACTCTTAATATCTAACTGTTGGTGTTTTCTATCAGTGTAATTTATGTTTTTCCACTGCTACAGAATCAAAAATTTCAGTTGTCTACTGTGTGGGTGTCCTTGAAAATTCCTGTTCCAAGGATCTCAACTACCTTGTGGAACATGATTGCAGAAATTTATGTAAATAGACTGTAGGTAAATGATCATTGTCTCATTTCTTCTATTCCATCACAAAATTTCCTGGGAAAAGAGTACATGTCCTCCTCCCAAAGGTGCTAGAAATAGACAAGCTGATTGTTGCTAAGATGAGAAGCAAGTAGAATGTCTTATCCAGGTAGTGTGCTTTACCAGTCTAAAATTGGTCCAAACAAGTAAGTTCTAGAAGGAGCTTTGAATCTGAAGTCTAGCATACATATGTGTTAACAAAGCACATACCTAAGCCAATGTCTACATCTGTTATTCAGATAATAAAATAGAAAAGATGGGTTAAGTGCCAGCAGAGAACTTGTACTAGTTTAATGTCACTATGCACTGTGACCCACACTATAGTGTTACCTGTACCTGCCCTCCCTTTAGTGCTGACCCATAATATACTACAAACATACATTAGGAAAAAAAAAAATGCTCACAGAAAGAGTAGATGGCCACTGGAATGGGCTGCTCAGGGAGGTGGTGTAGTCACTGACCCTGGAGCTGTTTAATAAAAGACTGGATGTGGCCATGGTTTAGTTGATAAGGTGGTGTTAGGTCATATGTTGAATTTGATAATCTTTTACAACCTAGCTGATTCTGTGACAAATTCCTCATCCATCCCAGCAGAGCTCCATGCGTGCCAGCAGGTCATTGACACAGACAGCGACACCCCCATGCCCTCTTCCCTGCCCATCCTTTTTAAAGAGCCAGTAGCCTTCCATTCTAACATTCCATTTTTAGAAGCATCCCACCTTGTCTCTGTGATGCCAGTAAGATCACAGCCCTGCAGGTGAGCACAAATTTCCAAGCACATCCCCAATTCCTGTTGTTGTTCTGGATAATACGTGTGTTTCCATAGAGGCATTTAATTTGGAGGCCCCAGTGAAACCAACTTACTGTCTGGAGTGGCTGGAATTCCTTTGTGCTGTTTCAGGTGCTCTCCTGCTGACCTGTGATCTCTCTCCAGGCTCTGGACATCTCTTGCTGCCACTGGCATCAAACTGGTACAAGTGGGATGGATTGAGGTTCTTCCTCCACCAGCAACTTTAGTTAAAATCCTTCTTTACCTTCTTGGCAAGCCTATGACCAAGATGCTCTTCCTGTTCCCTGCCAGATGGACTCACCATACTCCAGTAGACCAGATCATACTCATAAAGTACAGAGCAATCTGGTGGATAGCTGCTTATAAAAAACAGATGTTTGAATTCTTGTTATTACTCATTACCAGTGTCCATGCTGAATGATAATAAGATGGCATCAGAAAGATACTTTTTTTTCTCTTAAAGAGAAAACATGAATAGTAAAATTCATTCTGTGTACCTTTGGGAATTTATATAGTGCTAAAAATGAAATTGTCTAGCCATCTGTGCTGTTGAATGTTATGGTAAACCAAATGTAGCAATAGAAAGGCTGCTGTAAAACTCATACTACCAGCGTCTCCATCATAACATTCTACTGCACTTACCCCATGGCCTGACAGTTTTATATTGAAAAATAGATTTACTATAGTGTCAAATCATGGAACAGAGAAATGACAGAAACTTGATGTGGGAAACAGAGAATGGGGAAAAAGGAACCATGAATAGGAATTTTAGGATTCTAGAAAAAGACTAAATACAGGCTTGAAAGACCAAAATTAAAAAGAATGTTGTCTGGAATAAACCAACATTCAGGATTAAATGTTATTTTTTAAATTTATTTAAATTACATGTAATTGTTTAAAAATTTGGAAATTCATCTCACCACTCTAACACAGTGATGATGTGCCACACACTTCTTGCACTACACATATACCATAATTTCACTTAACATGGACAAAAAACCCAGAAGCACAATTATTCAGAATTCAGATTCTATAAAGGAAGAACTAGTTGCTAAAAACTGCATATTTGTTGGCAGTAGTCAGTAGGAAGTTAAACAGTCTAAAGAAAACTAGAATGTTGTAATTTTAAGTGAAGTGTAGCAATACAGATGCCCTTTATTTCCAATACATTTTTTAGAATGTCAAAGATGGATTTTGAGAGACTTCAAATAATTCCATTGTTCATCCTTCTCAGCTGTTTCCCTACAGTGATGATATTTAACAAAGCATTATTTCAAGAAATAAGACATTTTAGCTTTTTTATCACTTGTTTCACTCTTAGCTTCTGACCTTGCCAATCTGCTTCTTATTATATTAGACCTTACATTAGGGAATAAAAGCAGAGAGATCAAACATTCAGAAATTTCAGACTTCATGAAACATGTGGTGCTTTATTCTCTGTGAAAATAACAAACCTACCAATGAGACCTTAAAAACACAACTTTGCAAAATAAACACAGGTGGTTTCTGCCGAGGGCACAGGTTTTGACTCCAAAGAAGCATTAGTTATCTTAAGAAAAATAAAAATATTACTAATTTTGTTATGGTTCTTTGCATTATGATCACAATTAATGAAGTTTTATTGACTATTAGTGGAAGTGGAATATGAGCTACATTAAAGAATATTGACTTTAGCATTAGTTTGTAATACGTTTAAAGTTTCATAAATATGTTAGAAATAAAATTATCTCATTCTCATCACAGTTGGGCATCTTTTGCACTGATTTTCAGCTTTAACTTCTCCTAACATTGCGTTCTGATCAAATTCTGTTGATCAGATCAATTCTCTGATCAATAGACACCCACTTTCCTCCAGGTGAGAGACAGAAAAAAAAAATCCAAAACAAGACTCCAAAACCTCCTAAAAAAAACCAAACAACAACAAAAAAAAAAAAAAAAAAAAAAAAAAAAAAAAAAAAAAAAAAAACCAAAGTGAAAGCTGTCAGCCAGATGGAACATTTGGATTTCTTATATACAGTACTTCTCATTAACAATCAACACAGTTATAGCAGACTAAACATGTCTTCTAAAGCAAATGTTAAATAAAATTCCTGCTAGTTAGCATCAATAGTCTTTGCTTACATGCATTAGAGGTCTCAATTCTCCCCTGTCTCTGCAGAATACAGATAAATTTACCTTTTCTCTCTTTTCTAAGAAAGAATTGGCTTCTTAGTAAGAAATTATGTGAAGAATTCAGTTTCTTATGCCTGTTCTCACATCTACGCTTTCCTTTTACTTCAGTATCTCTGAATATGGAAAAAATACATAGCTCAGTGGCGCTGTCATTTACAATGGCTTGTGCATGACCATTGTTTATTTTGGTATGACCTGATCTTGTTGATAGTTAACTTTGCCTTCTTGGGTATGGCTGATAATGATCTATTCATAACAATTGCTTTGACTTTTATTCCTTGTGAGGCACAGAGAAAAGTATTGGCATTACATACATCACAGCATATGCCTCTCAATGCTGTGCAACAGCTGTCATTTTGAATGATCTTCTGAAACAGAAATGAGCTGGCCCAGGATCATTCACTGGATGCCATCTGTTGTTCACACCATAAGTACCAACTAGTAAGGACCAAAATGCATGACTTCTCTTATCATTGCATTTGAAACTGCCATTAACATCTGAAGCCTTCTGTGTCCAGTCGTATCAATTGGCAAAAATAAACCACATGGGCGGAGGGACACAGAATGATTGAAGATGCTCACTCTTGTATTTGCAGGGTGCCCTGACATTGGAAGGAATGATGAATCTGACTCCATGTTCTTAGAAGGCTAATTTATTATTTTATGATACTATATTATATAAAAGAATACTATACTAAACTATACTAAAGAATACAGAAAAGATACAGACAGAAGGTTAAAAGATACTAATGAAAACTCGTGACTCTCTCTCCAGAGTCTGACAAAGCTTGACCATGATTTGTCATTAGTCAAAACAATTCACATGAAACCAATGAAACAACCAGCTGTTGGTAAACAATGTCCAAACACATTCCAAAGCAACAAAACACAGGAGAAGCAAATCAGATAATTATTGTTTTCATTTTTCTCTGAGGCGTCTCAGTTTCCCAGGAGAAGAATACTGGGCAAAGAGATTTTTTCAGAAAATATGACAGCTCACCTCTGTCATTATTAAATGCTATAAATGAGTTTTTATAAGGTATCTCAGTAAAGATAAATCTCAGGTTATCAATGACCTTAATCCCAGGTCAACAGAGAACTCAGCTTTCCTTGACTGCACTTCATAGGTCTCTATGTCTCTTTCATTTTCACTACTTAAAATGGCTCTGTACATACTCATTCTTTGAGTCCTTTCTTTCCTTCAGCTGGCAGGTGAGAGAAAATGGATCTGTTGAGCAAACTGTAGTGTCTGTGCTTGAAAGTGGGTGATGAGCAGCTGTAAAGAAGCTGATAAAAAATTAACTCTGGAAACCCAGCATGTGAGGGATGGAAACTATACCCCCTCTCCTAATTAAAACTCTGATAAAATGAAAACATGCTATAAATCACCACAGTACAAACAGGGAGATCAAAAAACCCTTTCCTTTAAACAAATGTTTAATACCACAGAGGGATAGCTAAAATATAAAACGAACTGCAAAACAGCTCTCTGGATTTTCCCTCTTGATGATTCTGGCATACACCTGATCCTAGGTCTTTGGGGTAATATTACATTTCCTTATAAAATATTTATACAACACAGTACCTTAACCTCCTAAATCTGTATAACAATCTGTCTAGCCTTAATGGTAAGTACAAAAACTAATGTGAACAGCCGTGATTTTATCTCTTACATCCTCTTTCCAAATGTGTTTGAGCAAAATTTGTTTTCAAACTTTTCCCCTTACCGTTGTCATGCATAGCAATGAATAGACCAAAGTGAAGAATCCAGTAAGGCAAATTCAATATATATGTTCATGAATCTTGTCTAGATTTTTTTGTGATTTAACTCAAAGTGCCCATGTGATGTCAAAGAGTATCTTCTCCTTCAGTGTCATTATTACTAAAACTAGCAATTCTTTTTGGAAAAAATGATGATGGTAGTGGTTTGAAGAGAGAATAAACACATGGTTCTTTCACAATGCAGCCTATAGTCTAGCCTGAGAAAAGTGTCCTTGTGGTCTAGGGGACAGAACACAGAGAGAAGACAGACATCCAAGCAAGCTCATCATATAAGTACATAAATACAAATTATGCTGCCCCTTTCCTATTTCTAGGGAGCATATGGGGTTCTTTATTCCCTTTTTTCAGCCAAAGCTCTGTTTGAAAGAGAAGTCTCTGCTGAAAAGACACAGGTGAGAAGTGAGTTTTGAAGAATTAGAAAAAAGCAGAAATGTAAAAAGGAGAAGATAGTTGCAAAAATAAAACAGGTGGGACAGTATGTTGAGAAGTCCCTCAGAGGACAACAAAATTATGGGGGAAACATTGGACTGTAGGTTTAATATGAGATGGTGAAGTAGGTGAGATAGTCATGGAAGTATTCAGTGAAGAAGAACTTGTCCAGGAAGCTAGAGAAAATCTCAAGCTTGGAAACTGGAGTTGTGGGCTGTTGAGGTAAACCATCCAGCTGGAAGAGGGAGCACAGGAAGCATCCTCTCCCACAAACAGGGGCATCTCGACTATAAAACACTGGTGCAGCTGCTACTTCTGTAGGCGTGGATCCCTATGTACACAAAATATTTATCTACTAACTGCAGTTACCCCTCTAGCAGCAAGGGTTTCATCCACTCAGCCCTACAGTCCAGGAAGCCCTGGGCTGTCATTCATATTTAAGAAGTGACCTGAGTAACCTGGGTAATCTGAGGTTTGTGCAGACACTGTGCTAACATCAACTGGAGTCATACAACTACTTTGTTTTTTCAGCACTTAATAAGTCAGCTGGGGGCTTTTGAATAATTTGTCACCTACAGACAAAGCTTAAGTCTTACTGCCACTGGCAACCCACCATTACTTTCAGCCACAAAAGGGATTCAGATTCTCGGTTTGCTGTCTTTAGGACTCCCTAAAAGAAAAGATGTTTAAATATTAAATTCTATGGTTATTTCTGAAATAATCATACATCTTTTATAAGTAATTTAACTTCTTGAAGAGAAATACAGAGTAATAAAGGTATTTGGTCTCTATGAAAATTGTCATTGCTATTTTTTTTTGTATTTCTTACCTTATTTTCTTGTAAAATTCTCTCTTTCCTCATGAAATGTAAAACTGCTGCGTAGTTTTTCTGTAAATGTATTACATTATCAACCAGAGTCTCTTAAGGTGATTTAATTTTCACCCTACTTTTGATCATAGTTGCATAGTTGGTATTAAAATATTCTGTGGACTTATTTGCTGTATAAATGCAAGACATCCATAAGGGATATTTAATTTCACATTGTCTGCAGTGATGGAACATTTTTCATTTCATTGTATTTGGAAGAACCACTACTATAAACCTTTGGGAGTCTTTCTTATTTTGTAAGAGTGTATTAATATTTCTACCAACAGTACTGATGACTAACACACATATATGTGTGTATACATATGCTTTTGTACAGGTAACAAGTTCTGGGTTTTCAAGGACACTACTCTCCAGCCAGGTTATCCTCATGATTTGATAACACTTGGAAGTGGAATTCCTTCCCACGGCATTGATTCAGCAATTTGGTGGGAAGATGTTGGAAAAACCTACTTCTTCAAAGGAGATAGGTTGGTATAGGATTTCTGCAAGGGAACAATTCAGTGGATACCAGCTAAACATGTTAACCTTTTCCTCTGTTTCTCAAAAGAATGGAATTTACTCCTCCTGCTTAGATGGATGTACTGTTTTCACATGTCTTATAACCTAAATTATATTTTTGTGAGTATCTTGGAATGGGTATAAGTATATCCAGTAGAAAAGTTATGTTTTAGAAGTCAACAGGTGAGTCACAGTTGTGGCAAATTTAAACTTAAATACTCAAAGTGATTTGTTTATGTACACTCTTACATCTTTCTTTTTACCTCCATTTCTAAACCCCAGAACATGAGCAGGCAAGGCATGATCCAAAGCTTTTAAGGTCAGTGAAAGTGACTTCACTACTATTTGATATTGAGGTAAAAAAGGGAACTCAGTGCTAAACCTGGGAGCTAGAGAAGAATTTGAGCATTTTCTTGGAATTACTTCTAAATAAATCTTATAGGGACACATATCTATGATTAGTAATAATAATTTAAAAAACCCACAACCCCCCCAACAAAAGGACAAGCACAGAAAAAAACCCCATAAAATCGAAGAGTTTTTCCATTCCTGACATACTTGTACTAGTCATTTAGCATCTCTATTTACCTGTAAATAAAAAAAAAAAAAAACAAGAAAGGAATGTTTTTCTCCTTTATAGAGACATCAGGAGAATTCGTTAGTTTTTAAAACACTGCGAGTTGTCTGAATGATGGATTTTACAGGTATTCAGTATGGTACTGTGTTTGGTGATTGATGTATCGCTGTGCAAATTTTGTGTGCTCAGAGACAAATTATTCCGTATCAATAACTGTAATATTTCTATTAGTCTTATTAAAACTATGACTGCTTTTGTTACTGTGTGGTACTTAGTGTTCTCAGACACTAATAGTATTCATGGATCACTTAAGAAATCAATTTAATGCACATCATAGAATATGTTTAGGACAGTATAGTTTGTAATTCTTTAGCACTACTGTAAAAATTACACTACAGAATGCTGCAACAAATTTTATGGTTAAAGCTCTTTTTATTATAAAAAAAAAATATAGCTCTCCAATACTAATGGTGAGGGAAGTCGATAACTAAGTCAAATTTTTGTAATGTTTTAAAACAGGTGTCATTTCAAGCAATCAATTTTCATAGTGAGTAGAAGATGCCTAAATAATTTGCTTTCTATGGTTGAGTAGATCTTTTTTAAAAATTCAAATTCTTTTTCAGGTAATAATTTTCCACCTCCACATACATATTGTAAAAATATGTACAGTAAGAATCTTTTGTGACTTTTACTTCCTGTAAGCTTTATTCAGCAATGTCCTTTTATAGTACCATGCATAGGCAGTTACTTATATTCAGGACTTTCCTAAAACATGATTGGTAATAACAGAAGACAAAAAGAACTAGCAGAGAAATAACAGAAGACAAAAAGAACTAGCAGAAAAAACAGGTGCTGGCAGAAAAGTTGCTACTTAGAGCTAACAAGAACAATGAAACTCAGCAGGATATAAATGCAATAGAGTATGTTAGAAGAAGATTGAACATGAGCCTTGCAGAGATAATTGAGCCATTATAGGATTTTGGCCATATCGGCCATCAGTGGGAATAAACCCTTATAACAGTAAGTTTCTCAAGGTACATTGCTTATGACATCAAATATTGGCTATAAAATAAAATTAATAATAAAAATGGCCAAGCAAAAAATAAACAAGAAAATCCCATTGACTAAACCAGTAAGAAGATTTAAAGGTTGAACCAGTAAACAGTCATATGTCTAAAGCAGCTCATGTATGCAACATTTTTCTTGTAATTTGACATTATCTATTTCAATACTCATGATAATTCTTCTAAATTGAATGAAACACATAAAAGGGAAAAAATTGGCTACAGAAAACATTAGTCCCTCTGTTATTCCTATCCTACCAGAACTGAGTCATTTGGGACTAGAAAATAATAGGTTTGATTAACTTCTTGACACGTGTCCTTGTTTACACCTCTGTCTGGCCCAACTTTTTTATGCACTTTAAAGTTTAAATCAATGTTTTTTCTTCATAAAACTTAATAATTCAGTGGCTCAGGATATCATTAAGTAAATAGGCTTAGATATAGAACATAGTTTAGCAAATATTTTCCAAATTCCCTTTTTCTAAAACTATGAAGTGGACCTTGATTTTTTTCCCCTCTGTTATTTATCAGTCTTTGAGGTAAAGCAACAAGTTTATATAGACTGTAGAGCTCAAACTATCATTAAGGAGTTTGCTTGTCAACATTTGGCATGCCAAATAGAATCAAGACTAGGCTTTTCCTTACCCTGTAGACATGTTCATTATTCCAGCACAGATTGTTGAGGTGGTGTTGTGATCAGTCCTTCCCTAGTAGGGAAGGATCCCTAATCATTTTCATCAATGATGAAAACCCAGAAGTTTTGTGATTTCAGAGTGGGAACTGAGTCTGTCCTCAAAGACTTTTAATGACAAAGTATGCCTTTGAAAGTCATTTAAGCCTTTTAAGCCATTTAAGTCATTAAGTGGGAAACCAGAGGTTATTAAAAGAAGGAGCTCAAAAAGATGGAAAGATTGGAATAGAAAAAGGAAAAGGAGTGAAATTATGGAGGCCACAAATAGAGTTCTGGAATAGAGGGAGAGAAAAAGAAAATATATTTCTTTAAAAAAATGCAAACTAAAGACCAAGAAACTTAGAATATAAAGATGAGGAAGAACTGGTTTCAATACTATAAAAGTTAGAGTTTACTACTTTTACATGTTGTTTCTGCATGTAAACTTTCAAAGATGTTACGTATCCAAATAAAGAGCATTGTGTTGTTGGCTGGTAGCTGATGTATATGTGACTAGATGAAGAATTGAGGCTATAAAAATAATTTAAGCATAAGAAAGAAAAAATAAGTACAAATGTCTTTTTAATCTAACTTGCCAACACTTAACCCACTTGAAATCTGCTATCTTTTATTTTCATTGAAAGTTTAAAGCCAACAAAATACCCTACAGGGAGAAATACTAAGGAGTTTAGATCACTACACTTTTCTAAAAAGATCAAAATTTGAATCAGAGTGCCTAAGTACCTTCACAGTGACAAAATATCATCCACATAACAATTTTTTTAATATATGTGATTATAACAAGGATTTCTAAAAACTGAAGTCAGATGAATTCAAATGAGAAAGAGGGTCAAGTTTTTAGCAGTAACCAGATTATCAATGACAGTGATAAAACTATGTTCTAAATCAATGGAGTAAAAACATGAAATGACACACCAAAATATTGGGATACGCAGAGGATATTGGAGATGCTGTACTTTTAGAGCCAACTTATAAGATATGCATAGCAATTTGATCAGCAGTAAAAGGAAAAAGAAATTACCAATATCATCTCTAAGTGTAAATAAATCACAAGTGTAAATACTTCTCAGATGTTCAGCATTACTAGAATTTCATGCTGAAGCTTTTTAAGTTTGAGAAAGGTTGTCTGGTAAAAAGGCACACAAACAGGTTGAATTTCATAATACACTGCATCTGTTTAGTGACATTGAAATAAAATTAAAAGCTACTGTAGTGCATACATATGAAGAGTTAAATTAAGGTTGCTGGCAGTATCTTAATCTGAATCTACTGTCACTTGCGTTATTACATTACAAAAACATTAATGTACATTGTTTTTGTATGTGTTGCATTTCTTTGTGTCAATGTGCAAAAGCCCTAGGCATTAGAATTGTGGTGATTATAAGTAAGCTGCATGCTGGTTTAGTTGTTGAAGTGCAAAAATATTTTATCTTCTATCTATTTACATGAAACAGTAAGTAGATTTATTTGTAATGTATGTTCAAAGAGAAGAAATCCAGTATTTCCACTTGTGGTTAATGAATGTAGCACGTGTTAGAGAGGGAAAATATAAAGTTACTCATCTACTATCTTACAAATGTGCTTTTTTTTTTTCCTTTAAAAAATATTTCAGGTACTGGAGGTACAGTGAAGAAATGAGATCCATGGACCCTGGTTATCCCAAACCAATCACAATTTGGAAAGGTATCCCAGAATCTCCTCAGGGAGCCTTTGTCCACAAAGAAAATGGTATGCAAACACATTCCTGTTTTAATGATTTATTTACACCCTTTATGTAAGATAGAGTAGTAGAGGGATGATTGACTATTCAGGTTAAACAGTGAAGGAATTCTTGATATCTGAACAAAGTATTTCCTGTATAGAACTGGCTTTAGTGAAAATGCTCTTTTAATTGTTTAACTACTCTTTTAGCTGTTTAACCTAGGGCTGAAAACACTTTCAAATTCAGTATTGTAAACCTTAATTTCCATTCTTTTTTTCTTCTGTCTTAATTAATTTTGGTTTTGCTTTCTGCTGGATTATAGCACCTCTTAAAACAAGCTTCATAAATACAGTAAATCTCTTGAATTTTCAAGATGCTGGCTTTTTAAACAGCTTAGAAGGTATTGCTTTCATTCTCAAAAGTTAGCAAAGGGAAGCAAAATCTTTATCTAAGCAGAAATATCCCAATGAATTTATGTAAATCAAAGATGTCAGAAGTCCATCATGTAGAAAAGCCAATAACAGGGATTTTAGTATGATGTATTATTAGCTTTATCAAGATGCACCATCACATACCTAGAGCCTGGAATCTCAGCTGGACACACCAGAAAACAAATGAGAGCAGCCAAAATCTCCTCTATCTTAGGAGAATTCAGTGCTACCCAGGGGATGGTGGCCAGCTGCCAACAGAGCCCTCAGTTGCAGAGAGGTTTTAGATCCTTTTGACAGGAATAAAAACATGCATTTGTTGTATAAGACAGGACATATATCTATTGCCATAATATTTTAATGTCCTTTTAATAAGAAAATAAAAAGATTGCTTTCCTTTTATAAAACATTTTAATCTCCTATTTCAACCTCTAACTTGATTAAGTAATTTACCATGGAAATGTTTGGGGCTTTTTTCAAAAATATGTTTAATTGCTTCCTTGCTTTGTGTCTGTTGTACCCAGAAGAAGGAACCCTGTCTGTATTTTGGCCTTTTTGCTAGATTGGATTTTTTCTGTTGCTTTTAACTGGAAAGTAGGTCATTCAAGATTATATTCTGCACATATTGCACTCAATAATTAACTATTTTTAAGTACATATATATGTGGAAATAGTCACAAAGGTTATAGAAATATATATACATGTATGTACATCTGTATCTGTGTATCTATCATCTATCTATATCTGTGCATAAATATATGTATATACATATATTTGTGTATATAAATATATTTATATATATATAAATATATATATTCTGTACTGGGCTCAGGTACATGTGCCTCCCATTAAAAATAAAAATTATCTTACTCTAAAACCCAGACCAGTGAGTTTGAAAGCACTGCAGAGGCAGAGTACCTATTCCTAAAGCATGAAAAAATTTTGATTACATAAAAGGCTCTTCTCTTTCTAACTCCAGTAGTTTTGATAGTCTGCTGGACTCTTTGGATGAGAAGGTTAGTAAAACATGGCATGAGATTGTGGAGGAGGTGAAAGGAAAGGGAATTCTTGAGCATCTCAGAAATGCTATAAGGGCCCCAGGGCAGAAAAAGGGACTGAACATGACACCATAAATTTCCCAACAAGACCTCTGAGACATTTTCCCTGAAATCAAGAAAATAAAGTCTTAAGAAACAGTTTGCAACGTTGCTGTTGTTTGTATGAAGAGAGAAAGAAACAAAAGCAGATGAAAATAAGAAATACCACAGGTCAGTTGGAAAGAAGTTGATTCCATTTTGCCTGAAACTGCTTTTATTTCTCTGGACAGAAGCAGAGTTTATAAAGAACTTTCACTATAAGCCTTCATAAGGAAACATCTGAAAGCATGTCTTTCAGGGAATTAATTTCATTTTAAAGAATATTTTTTTCCTTCTTTTACCTTTTTGTTGTGCAAACTATGCAAATGAGCACCTACAATAACTCTGATCATGCAGATGTTTCCTTCAGTAATGGCAAAAATTCTTGGTAATTGTGCATTAAGAGTTTTGGAAAGGATGAGAAAAACCAATTTCTTACTCTAGTCAGTGTCCCAAGTCAGTATCCTAAAAGCTAGTTAAGGTAGAGGTACAGGTAACACCTTTGAAACTTGCCCTGCTACTTCCCATTTTGTGATTTGTTTTCTAACACTGTGGTGGAAACTCTTAGAAGGGGGTGGAAAAGAAATTTCCTTTCTTTTGCTACACGGAATCTAAGATCACACAAAGTCCTCCAAACTGGAGAAAGCTTTCTACCTTGAGAGCAACACAGAAAATTTAACTTTCCAACTAGAAATGCTGCTGAAGTGGATGATGGGGCAATTTTTAGGTAGAAGAAAGAGAACAGGTAGTCTGCTTTATTAGTCCACTGGCCCTTTTTGCCTTATACCTACTACATAAGTACATTTGGGGTAGCAGTGACTGCTAAACCCTTCAGTACTGTTTGTGTCAGGTATTGCACTCACTGCTCAGAGACTAGTACCTAGAAAATTGTAAGGAACAGCTCTCAAAACAGGTTTAACACATCTAGCAGATTAGATGAAATCACTTTCAACAATTGTATGAAGTCATTTGCTCTGTCAGGAGAAGCAGTAAAACTTCTCAGTTTCATAGAATTGTCCTTCTCTACTGGTAGCTTCCACCTTTCAGCTGTAACTGACTATTATCCTGGTTCCTACCTCAGCAAAAATGGCAGAAAAGTTTAAACTTTTTAAAAAGTTTAAACAGAGTTTTCCAGTGAAAAATATGCTCTATTTGAAAAAAATTGTATTAGATCTCTAGCAACTGGCAATTTCTCTGCTGCTTTAAGAGTTTTAATTTGTTCTTTTGCTGCATAATATCAATTACTGCTAATTAGAGTTTTTATTTTGATTTACCTCTACCCCTGAGTATACATACATGTATTCTTCATATATGTATGAATATAGATTTAGAGGTGTCACATCTGTATATGGTCTCTGTGTGTTAGAGTATTGATAGAGATAATACATCAAATTTCCATATTTGAAATATTTATCCATGGCCAGGATGTGCAGTACTTTGGAAAGGCAAATTGTTATATGGAATCCAAAGATAGGGTAATTGTGGTTCAAAATAGTGAAATTTTGCATTTGATAATGCTTTTCATTTGAACTGCAGATTGCTTTAAGGAGCTTTATATGTGCTAAAATTTTAAAACAACATCAAATTTAAAGAATTCCAGTCCTCTTTTAGGTTTTATTCCAATCAGAATAGAAGGCATTTTCTGAACAAGCCTAGCTACTCTTTTGATACAGATCAGTCTTCTTGTATATTTTTTTTTCAGATTGTATCATATCTTTCTATAAATCTATTAGCATATTTTCAGGTAATAAAAATGCAAGCGATTAAGGAAAGGAAAATAATACCTTTTCATGGGCTAGGAAGGCTATTAAAGTCACAGAAATACCTAATGTAGAAAAATGATGAAATACTCAAGTTGTTCTGAAAAGTGGTAGTAGGTGATGAAGAGTTTTCCTAGTGTTTGAGCTGCAAAATAGACTATCAAATATTTATTTTTTTAAAATTTTTGAATTGAAAGAAAACAATGATTGATTGAATACATGATTAATAATGTTATCTCCAGATAGGCAGTTACCAGCCTTTTCAGGAAGCATTGTTAACTACAAATAGTGCCCCATCTGTCTTAGTAGCCTTTAATACTGCAGGAAATATATGAGATGTATAAAGTGAAGATAAGAAAAAATCCAGCTGTTTCCATTCAGTTCATAAACAGTAGGAGAAAGTTCACCCATCCTGAAGGTTTATGTCTTGCCAGATTAATGCCATTTTTTCAGCTGGGTTAATAGAGTAATATAGATTTTTGGCAAGAGACAAGCTTTTTCTTCATTTAAGCAAGTTTAATAATAACATTGGATTGTGCCTGAATGAACAAATATCATGTCTTTACAGAAAACTTAAATATGGTTACACCTTTTATCTCATGTGAAAGATGCTATTATTTCATCCAGTCTCCTTCTGAAGTACGGCAATAGGTGATGTGAGATTTAGGAGGGTCAGTTCTCATTTCTGCATAGCATAGCAGAGCAGAGCATTGCAATTTGTTTAAGGAGACTTCCTGTCTTGAAGAAGTTGTGATGCTTTAAAGTCCTGTCCCTGAGGATTCCAACTCTAGTTGGTTTTCCAGTGAATAAACAAACTGGCCCAACTTGACTTTTCATAGACCATATTTTCTGGAATTATTTGATTATTTTGTAGTAATGAAAGAAAATAAAATCCCAGTTCACTGAATGAAAGAACAACTAAAGAACAAACAAACAAGAAAGTCCCCAAACTCAACGTTAGATTTCTAGAGACAGTAAAGAAATAAAATTTGTAAAAGAAGATTTGAAAGACTTCTAACTGAAGTCTATTCCTTATGGCTTTTGATTATTTTTTAAGTACGAAATAATTGATACCAGTAATTTCCATAAAAGTATATTGATGACATGATTTCATATGACCATGAATAATTGCTACTTTCTTTCTCAGGCTTCACATATTTCTACAAAGGAAAAGAGTACTGGAAATTCAATAACCAGATGCTCAGGGTGGAACCTGGCTATCCCAGATCCATCCTCAAGGATTTTATGGGTTGTGATGGACCAACAGACCGAGATAAAGACCGACACAGCCCTCAAGATGATGTTGACATTGTCATCAAACTGGACAACACAGCCAGCACTGTGAAAGCCATAGCCATCGTCATTCCTTGCATCCTGGCCTTGTGCCTCCTTGTCTTGGTTTACACTGTGTTCCAGTTCAAAAGGAAAGGAACACCCCGCCACATACTGTACTGCAAACGCTCTATGCAAGAGTGGGTGTGATGTAGGGTTTTGTTATTTTCTCTTTCCCTCCCAGGAGTTTGTGGTAACTTGAGATTCAACACAAGAGCTGTTATGCAGTTTCCTAGCTAGGAGCGGGCATCTGTCAGTCTGAAACAAAGCTGATCTTTAAAACCCAGGGGGTTGCCTGTCCTGCACATGAGTGGCGATTCACTCAGCTGGGAAGCTTCCATGATACACAGTATCTGCCGTTTCTTCAGTCCTTTGTCTTTCTTTGTCATTCAATTCTAGGCCTTCCCTCTGCACGCTCAATGCCCTATAAACTATCAGGATTAACTAACAAAGAGGAATAAAAATATCTCCAATGTTTCTACATTTTTCCCTTAAGGCCTGTTCCCCTTCGAAGAATTTTTTGCTGAAAGTAAATTTTTTTAGAGAAACACAACAACCAACAATGGAACTTTCAGGAAAGTGAGAAGACCCAAAACAGCTTTGTCTCCAAAGAGGATTGCTTTCTGTCTGCTATGGATAAAGTCCTATACTCCTACTTCCAGTTTTGTCAGGTGGGAGACTCGGATGACACGCAGGACTTCAGACTGTTTGGACAGCCATTTTCCAACAAACAAGGGGCCAAAATATCTGCAATATAGTAACAGCCTTAATACATTCATTTTGTGTTTTTTACAGCTGCTCTGGGCTATGTCCTCAATGTTTTAAACTCATATTCAATACTATATTCAAGCAGAATCTTTTTATTGGTTGTTTGATTTCTGGTTGGTTTTCCTGCATTACCTTTCCCAAGCTGTACCAAGCCAACTACCCCAGGCCTTTTATAGGTCTGTCAGGAGCACTCATTCCAAAGAATGGTAAAAAGCAGTGTGTCTCTGAAGTGGATCTCAATGAACTAAAACAACAGACATGATATTAAGAGACTTGACACTGGTATTATATTGGTGGTGTAACCCTTTGAGAACTATTGCATTCAGTTTTCAGAGTCTGGTGGATGTTAATCTTGGTCATCATTAAATTATAGAATTGTGTTTGGGTAATACAGGTTTCAAAAGAAAATCAGTTTTTCAAAACAGATTTCTTATGACTTCATTTTAAAGTATTTGCATTATTGATAGGAAAGCATTTGTAACATGAATAGAAAACAAAATATATTTACCAGCTACTTTCTTGTTAAAGGAACCAAACGTATTTTAATAATTTCTACCACTTAACAAGAATTTTTCTGAGCTGTCAACAATTTTATAGCTTAGCCTCTTATCTTAAACATCTTGGATTTCTCTCTTAAGACTGTGTTGCATGACAATTCAATTTGCCTCTGCAGAGGTAGAGTTACAGTTTCAAAAGAAAGCTAAGAAGATGATTATGATAGTGCATGAGTATCCTCTGGTGTGTTACCCCTTTGCATGTTCATCATAGTTCTCAAAGGGTTAAAATTTCTGGCCTTCAGTCAAACATGGTATCAACTGACAGAGCCAAGGGACCACTAAAACATTTTGTCATTCTGTGTAATTTGTGCTAACAGCAGTATTGTCATTTTCATGTGACCTGCAGAGCAGGTTTGTATCAATAATTTTTTCCTAGAGAAAAGTCAGCAACTGACAGACCTCTTTATTGATTTTAGGAGCTGCTTCTTGCAGTGATAGGCTTTACAGTCACTGGGCTGTGAACTTATTAAAGATGGTCAGAATGATGCACCCCAAAAGTCAGACACCTGGTTTTTTATGAAAGCCAGGTTTTGAGGGGAGTAGCTTTTGCAACAATGAACAGCTTGCCTTGAACTTGATTATTGACCTGTTGACTGTCATTACCAAGTTAAACATTGTCTTCTGTGAACAGCTTCACTGTCTGAATTTCCTTAAAGTGTACTGTCCTATGTCTTTGACCTTTAACTTGCAAACTGGCACAAACTGAAGGGAATCTGGTGTTGCAAATGAACTTAGATGCATTTTATCTCTTGAAAGGCCTGATAGACATGATGGAAAATTTGAGGAAAAAAACTGAAGTGTTTTAGTAGGAGAGAAATGACATAGACTAAAATATTTATGATAGGTCTGTAGAAGGGAATTTTGCTATGTATACATGCACACTCTAAAAATGAATTACAGCAGAAGTTGATTTTTATTTAACTTGAATACAATTTTCAGTATAAAATTATTATTTCTACAACTATCTAGTTATTAATGAAAAGGTTATAGGAAAGTATTAAAATACTTGAAATGGCCAGTATAGGCTTTTACATAAAATGAGACTTTTATACCACGTTCAACCAATTTCTTACTGGTTTCTTAATCCACATAACTGGATCACTTTTTAGAGAGTGTAGGTATATATGCATATATATTATGATTATTATTGTTTTGGTAATGGATAGCTTGACTGCCTTGAATTTATATTTATATTGAGCATAGCATGAAAAATAGTATGCCTTTTTTTCAATTACATGATTTTATATTGATTTGAGAACTTATGAACATATGTGGCATGCTATAAAGCATTGCAAACTTATTTCTTAGAGCATAAACAGATATACATATGTATGGTTAACAAAAATGAAGATTAAAAAAAGATATAGTTTTACAACAAATATGCAATGCAGATGGCATTTTGGAGAAGTTTTGTAGAAGTACTGCATACTGTAGGTTAGAAGCTCACCAGTATCAGCCCATAGCATTATTTAGTAAATCCAAGTCAGTTGTTGCTGAAAATATAGATTTATTGACAATTTAGTTGCACAGGATTTTTGCTGCAGATCAGCTCATTTGGTGAATTTGAAATTCTATGATGTTTGTCATATGTATTAAGATGTGTGTTTGTATACTTATAAAAGCACACAAACACACACATACATAGACATGCACATTTTAATCCACTGAGAAATTTTTATTGTCAACAAACTACTATAACTTATATTCTGCTATAGACAGAACAAAATTATTGTTGTTGTTGTTCCAATTTTTTTTCCCTTGGATAGTTGGAGAAAAATAATAAGAGAACTACTTACTCTGTATTTGCTTTTCCTCTACAGTAGGGGATTTTTGATTTTCTTTGTTTTTTAAGTCAGAACAGCATCTCATCAGGTTTTTTTATTCACTTGAAAATTTCATTTCAGTTTTGAAATATCTTTCATGGCAGCTTTAACTTTTTCTGCAACCATTTCCCTGACAGTAATGAAGTGCTGAGCATGTTGACTGTTGTTCTTTGATAAGGTAACAAAAATATTTGTGTTTGGAGAATTTAACTGTAATTATGCAGGAAGGTAAGTGTGATACTTCTAGTGCTTGGTATATTGTACATGGTAGTTACATGAATACATGATAAGTTGATCGTTGAATCTATTTTCTTTTACTTAAAAGTGCATATATGCTATATACAGAGAGAGGGAGAAAAAACATTATATTGGCATGTTTATGTCATGCAAAGCAAGATTGTGTCAACATTTCTGTTATATACTCATGTTTTCAGTAGGTTGCAACGCAGTCATAAAGGTTTGCTGTAAGTAAAAGATGTAGGAGCGTTTGTGTTCATTGTAATTTCCAAATACATATTGGCTAGTTTCAAATTACAGAATTTCAGAATAAATTAGTGATGTTGCCTGATCTAATTTTGAACTCAAATTAGTAAAAGTTCTAAGACAATTTTTGTTTTTTTGAATAGTTGTTTCTCTACAAGGACGTATCACTATTAGAATTAAGAAAAAGCAAAATATTTTCAGGTCTGCAGTCTGGGTTCCTGCTCATGTGCCGTGACTTCTTAAATAAACATTTCCATATTGCTATTATCATGATCTGTATTTTGGAACAATACAAAACTGAATAGTGTTGTGTTAATCAGCTACAGTCTATCAAGCTGACTACACAAGGTCGTGTATCTTCAGAGTACTATGGTCCGTACGATGCAGAGGGCCAGAGTAGATTATAGCGGTGTTTTCTTTGGCCTTTCAATATCTAAACCTATGAAAAGGTTATTGACTGTAGAAAAAAATAATTTTTATCAAAAAAAATTTAAAAATATGTAACTGTATATTTACTGGATAGGCTGGGATGGAGAGACTCAAATGGCTCCAAAGGAGCCCTTTCCAGTCTCCTGAATAAATGTAATACATATTTTATATATTCCTATGAACTTTTGTTCTTTTTCTTCTTTCAAAGTGGGAAAAGGGAGGGGATAATTAAAGAAAAAGATTTTTTTAAGGCTAATTTTTTGAATTAAAATAACATAAGCTAATAGATCCAAACATAAAGGGCAGACTTACACTTTTTCTTAGAAGCATACTTCACATCCCCAGTTGCTTGATCAAGACTCCTGTGCCATTAGGACTGTGGGTTAAGAACGGAGTGTAAGGCTTAATGTTTGAATTTTCAGCTTTTTTGGGGGGTCTTAATTTACAATCTAAATGTCAGTTAAATGTAGCTTTTGGTACCAAATTATATAGAATCTAATTCTAGCTTGTTGGCTAGAAAAAAAGTGCATAGTCTAGGAAGTTGGTCTGCCTATTAGCAATGGAAGTACTTTTTTTTTTTTTTTTTTTGTGTTTGAACCATTGTTAGGACAAATCTTAAAACACACACGTAGTAAACTGAACAGTGAATGTTCCAGGAACTGGATTTTTAAGGAAGTAGAAATGCAAGCTACCATACCATTAGCAGCCTACTTTGGAAAGAACGAGATGACTGGGTGGAGGAGCAAGGATATGACTGCAGGGGCTTGCCCTGTCCTGGCTCCCATATCTCCTTACAACAGGGCTTAAGTTTCACCACCTGTTGCAGAGATGAAGGAAGCCATGCACTATGGCAGTGGGAGATGGGAAGCAGCCATTACAGAACAGTTGCTCCTGGTTTGCCTTTTGCTGTTGTCAAGACTGTCTCTGGACACCTCTGTTTCCAGAAGTATAAATAGATGACTGCAGATGTATGAGCTATAAAGGAAGTCATTACTCTCAGCTGAGGAAACAAATGTCACTGGCTACTTAGATGTCCAGCTGTGCTGTAAGGAACAGATAACCTGTTATTGAATACAATTGTATACTTGTGGTACTCCAGCACTGTAATGTTAGGCATACTTCCTTAGCTCCCACTACACAGACTGCAGACAGAGTTGTTCTCATGAGATAAGACCATTTAAACATATGTCAGTTACAAAATGAACCATGTGCTCATAAAATTAATCTCTGATATATGCATGTAATTAAATGAATTGTCTCCCACTAGTCTCATGAAAAATATATTATGTGTGAGTCAAATCTGTCTAACCCATTCTTGTGGCTTGCCATCTGAGATGTCAGAGGCTGGTGGAGAAAGACATTGTCATCAGTGCCATCAATGCTGAAAATATCTGGTAAACATCAAAAGCATACCATCACTTGTTGCAAACTGGCTCCATTTGAGGCTTGATCTAAGGTAGCCTCTAATATTAGGCAGCATCGATTTTTTTTATGAAATGGAATTATTTGATACTTGTATGTATGTAAGTAAGAATGGCCAATAATAATCAGAAGATATTTTCAGGGATCATCAGTGTGTGAGCACAGCAAGCATCTGTTCCTACATCAAAATGTATTTCAAGGAAGGATGTAGACAGCATTGAACGCATGCATTATAAACAGGTCTTCTTTCCCAGTATACATAAATTTTAGCATATAATCTAAAAATTATGGTCAGTTAATTAACATTTGGAATTGCAGCTGCCCATTTTGTCTTCAATAGGTATCATTCTGTGAGTGGTGTCCATAAAGTATGTTGGCTTTGCAGTGATGGCCTTATGTATTGCTCTGGTCTACCAACAGTATAGTTGAAATAAATTTTAGATGCAGAGAAGACATAAATGAAGAAAGGCTGATGTAAATTAACATGCTAAAGACAGTTTTCTGTACTTGGATGTGTATGCAGCGTAGTGCTACTTGCTGCCACAGTAATACTTCATAAACAATAATCATTACACATGTCAGCCACTTATGATGGCATGTGGCTTTGCAGTCACACAGCTTAGTTTCTTCTGCTTCTATAGAGTACCATTGTCCACAGATTATTATTATTATTATTATTATTATTATTATTATTATTATTATACCCACTACATATACCAAGGTTTTCTGTTTAATAGTAATTTCTACCATATGAAATTGAATAATGTCCTTTTTATAACTACAACCTTAATCTTTTTGGAGAGGCATATCTTAATTCATAGCCTTTCATGGCTTTTTTTTTCCCCCTTTCTTCTTGCAGTAAATATATACTGAATATTGTCTACATCCTCAGGAATAATCCTATTCATTCTGTGTCATGCATGTGTCTTGGATAACCCATTTACTAATCCATCATTCCAGCAACTGGCTTTCTGGGAACTGGGATTAGTAACACAATGCTGACATAAAATAACTTCCTTAAGTACCTGCTTAGTCCTTAACAATATGACAATGGAGTTTGAAGAGTTTTTAGTGAAGTATTGTGTTGCTTACATACTGGCAACAGAACAGTATAACTCTGCCAAACAGTGAATGTCCACTTGCATGGTTCTGTGTTGAGTTATAAACTAAAGTTTCTAATTCATATTTCCATCCTGATGTACTGGTATTTAACACCCAGTTTACATACACATTCATAGCTTACATGGCTGGGCATAAATTCGTCTGCCTTGTTGAAGCCAAGAGTACTTAGTGTCAGCAGGTAATTGTGTTAATAGAGTATAAAAATTTGAATCCCTTACTATCATTTTGCAACCTGAAAGAAGAAAAAATCGGTTTTACCATAGTATGACTTTTTCCATCACTTTCCAAAATTATGGTTTCTGATACTCTTTGTCACTGTTTAAAATTAGGTGATATTAAATAGATCTCAGAAGTACTGGTTTACAACTGATAACTGTGCAAGTAAATGCACAGCCTCATATGTGTGCATACAATGATTCTAAAGAGAGAAGAACATACTGAATATGCTTTGCTTGGCCATTGACACAAAATTGCCAGTGCTCACATACTGGTCACCTTCATATCTTATGGGAATGCTGGATTGAAGCAGTTTGTCTGCTTGGATTTAGGTAGAACTATGTAGTTTGGGAAATGATACATGTGATGGCATGCATTGAAAAGACATCATCAGCAACCTACAGCACTGTTTTAAATGACCATGATAACTACAATTCATACCTGCAAGGCATAGCTGCAGCTTATAGGTACACGGCTGTGTTTTACCTCATATGATGATGTGCTATGAATTCTGGCCATGCATCACCAGGCAGATGAAAACAATAAAAAAGACCTTTCAGAACAGCCATTGTCAATACTCACAGCTTACAGAAATAACTGACATTGTTAGTCCAACAAAACTTAACCTTGAAAAGGAATCCAGCATTGAAGGAATGTGTGATGATGAAAATACTCCCTTCCCAGCTCTTCCTCTACATAATCAAATAGTTAAAGCATTGTCAAGTGTATATATATGTATGTGTGTATGTATATGTATATACACACACACATAATGTCTATCTTTACTGTGTTTCCAAAAGATGTGGATATCACTTGTCAAATCACAGTATTGTCTTACTGTGTCTGGTTGAAAATCGTTCTACAGGATAGATCAAGGTTCATGATCCTCCCTTTTCACCATCTAACACACGCTACCACCTTCAGAGGAATGCATACTGATAGCAGTGCTGGGACCACAGTGATGACAGATACAGTTTTAAATTAACACCCTGTTGAAGTCTTTCTCAGAGGAAACTTAAACTAGTCATGAACTTTCTTTCCACAACTTCTAGAACCCGCAGGAAAGCCAACTAGGTCTTTTGGTCAAAGCCTACAGACAGACACAAGAAAAGTAGCAGAAGAACATTTCCATTTTTGATTATCAAAAGAAAATAGGAAAAGGAATGAAAACATTTTGACTTATAAGTGCAAGTACAACACCAATTTATCAAAAGATATGGAGACAAGAATCACTAATACCACTAAAATTTCATGTAATCAACAATAAAAGAGAAGAGATATTACCAAGAACTTGTTGATAGCTTGGAAAATATTTATTGGCCTCCAACAACAAAAAATATGTGTTAGGCTTTAGAAAGTCCACTGACTTCTGTATTTGGAGTCATAACCCACCAGATAGCAGTCAGTCAAAAAGCTCCTTAATATAGTTGCTCTAAACCTGACTGCAAATATATATAGTAATATAGAGTACCTTATTTATCTGGTACAATCAAAATCTTTTGAGATAGATTTAGTCAAACTAATATTAACCTGAATCTCTGTGCAAAAACTGGTCACAGTGAAATGTCCTTCTGTTTGTTCTCAAAAATTAGATGATTTGGAGAACTCCACTGGATAAAATACTGAAGGACAAGGAAGTCTTTAACCTCTACTAGTGTATATTACAGCCATGTGTCTTTATTTCCATGATAGTCCTAAAGTATTTGATATGACAGAAATACTTTTATGGCCATTGGATGGATCATCTGTTTCTATTTCTATATGTAAATTGATAAATACATTCAAACTTCTGATTCCACTCCATACCCTTTCCTCACTGCACCTTGACATGTTTTCTTAGTAACTAAGGCAATATTTAATTTTATATTTTCTTGGTAGGCAAGTGAGAAATGATCTGTTCATTATACAAAACCAATTTTGTTGTCTATCTCATTTAAGCATGTACAACGTTTTACACTTAGTCACTAGGAATTGCAGGTTTTTTGTGTCTACAATGAAGGTAGTACCTTCTCAAATCTCCTGCAAATATTTGAAGAACTTGATGTATATCTTTCACTGAATCTTGTTCATTGTAC